AAAAAAAAATACTTACAGTTCTCTTCTGAAAAATTTACTATAATTCTTTTATTAGCAAAATAACTAATTATTTTCATAGATATATTTTATATATTCTATTTTCTCTTTATCTTAATCATAAATTTACAAACATTTATATTTGTATTAACTTTTTTTTTTTGGATTTTAAAGAATGACATCTATAGCTTATGATCTTTTATTAAGATTTACAATCTACAAATATTGTAGAGAGTATTACATTTTGCATATCAATAAGATTATAATTAGTCATTTATACAACTTAGTTATTGTCTATTTAAAGGTTTCATCTATAGGTTACCTACTAATTGTCATATCTGAAACTCACTTATAAGTTTCCTATTTAAAGTTTCTGATTTTCAATTTTTTCTGTAATACTAACTTAATTTTTTAATAATGGACCTTAGAGTTATTTTATTTTTGATGCAAACTCTACTAAATAGAAGTAGATCCCATGACTACATCTATATGAATTTATGATGTTAGAAGTAATTTTATATTAGGTAAGATCAATTTTTTCTACAAACATTGATGATATTCTTCATATTTCTTATTATAGTAGTGCCTGTGCTCTGTCATACTGATTTCTTTTTAGAAATTCCTTAAATTAAATATGTACCTTCACTTGGACTTTTACAAAGTTTCACATTCAATTATAGACTTTATTTTTGGTTATAGAGTATTTTACCTCCAGTCAGATTTGAACCATTGACCTTATCTGTAAGAAAATAAGAGCTTAACAACTAAGCTATAGAACCTAACTTCATATTTGTATTAACTTATATAGATAATACTTTTTAGATTATATATTTTAAAAATAAACTTAAATTAATCATTAAGATAATATTATTCTTTTATTATATAATGGATATACAAATTAATTTAATTAAATCTATTTTAGTTTTCAATACATTACTTATTAAGAAATCAAATAATTAAGAACCTTTAAATAAAAAATATTATCAATTAACTATTAGAATTTAAATTAAAGAAAAAAGATATTAGATCAAATTTAATATACTAAAAACAGATTACAATCTTACTAGTTTATTTAAATAAAAAATTTGAAGTCAAAGAAGAAATATAATAAAGTATTAATTATATATTATAAAATTAATACTAAAATTCAAATAAACTTTGTAAAAGCATAATTCTGTTAATCATTTATAAAATAAGTAGATTAGTTAACAAAAGAATTTTTAAGGTTTTATAATTAGGTAATATTTTCTAAAATAGATAATAAATAGATATATAAGATAGAATACTAAATATTGAGTTAGATAATACTTAGTCATATAAGAACCAAGCACTATTTGTCTAATATAATATAAGAATTAGAGAATTTAAATAAATAATTTCCTAGTAGATTATAAGCATAACAATTATTATAGAACCTTCAGGTAAACTATTTAAAATAAATAGCCAAAAGTTTTATATATAACTAGTTGCATGTTTATTCTTGTATAAGTTATATATAATGTATAATTAAAGTTATAATAAAAAATAATAGTTATTATAAACATTAGTTTAAATAAAAATAAAAAAAACTATCATTATTAATGAAATATATAAATATTATAAACTTTAAAAAGAAACATAATAATATAATAAAATGATTATGTTGTTAACTCTTAAATAGTAAATCTAAAGTTTAAATCTTAATATCAATAAAAATTTAAAATTCTTTCTATATTATGGTTAACTATTTTTTACTATTGGTTAATATCAGATATCTGTTATCTGTGTTATATTAACATAACTAGAAGATCACATGATATTCTTATAATAATTGTATATATATGAAAGAACACAAACTAATATTAGATAGTATAAATTTGTAATAAGTTTTTGTGATCATATAAATCATAGAAACTGGCAAGATAAAAGTTTACTTAAAAAACTTGAGTAGAGAGGTAGCTTGAACTTTTAACAATACTACTATAAAGACTAGATCTAGAAAATAGAACTAAAACTTAAAAATTTAATAACATACTGATCTTTAAAAAAGAACTATTATAACTAATCAGACTGTCAAAATCTTAAAAAAAATAACAGAAAAAAAGATTACATGTCAAAGAATATATAAACCAAAAATATGATTGTATCTATTTTTTTAGATTATCTGAACTAAAAACTTGATAAAACTTGAATTGAATATTAAAGTAATAAGAATATATTGTGAACTAAGTATTGAGATTAGGTAAATTCTACAAGATTATAGTAGTTTAATAATATGTCCTAACTGTAAGTGTTAGTTTCAATCATAATATAACTGGATCAATTATAAGAATGAGATACAGAAGATTCTAGAAAGTTTAATATAAGATTAAAGATTCTTCATATAAGTGAACTGCTTTAAAGACTTAGTAATCATAACATATTTTTACTGGTATCGATCAGGATCATTGATAGGTGTAAGTAAGTGATAGATATAGAAACTAAAATGTTTAAATAAAAAACTTACAAGCAAGTTTTAGATATGGTAACTAGTGTAGAACCTTTAGATGAACTACTTAAATTAGATATTAACTAAAATTGTACAAGTAGCTAGTTGTACACTCTTTCCATGGTTGCCTCTTGTGGTTGTAATGCAACCATTAGCTGAATGTACTATCAATAAAATTCTGAATTACAAGTACTCACATTAATATTTAAAAAAAAAACAAACTTTAAAAATAAAAGAATCAAAAATTATAATATATATAATCAAATTAGTAATAATTATTCAAAAAACAAGTTTTAAGATTATTATAATTGTTTTTAAAAAATGCAAAATATTTTAAAAATGATATTGAACCACGATCCATGGTTTATTGTACGGTTATACAGTTCCATGGTTTATTGTACTATATAAATGCCCCCTTCTTAATTGGTTAATAATTATTTTGAGTGTGCATAACTTCATATTTTTGAAATCCTGTAATATTCAGTGATGACTAAGTGTAATTTCTTTAGTTGGCTGTAATTAAGAGAAATTCTGTAATGTTCTGTGAATTACAGAAAATCATCGTCCCTGCTTTTAGTGCCCTAACAAAAAGTTTTCCTAAAGTGATTTTACTATCTAACTACCTAATCTCTAACTTCGTTATAGACTCTAACTCTAACATTAATGAATTATAAAGAATTTTAAATTTTTTACTATGCCACAATGATTGGCAGAAGCAAATTAAGTATCGTTAAGCCAGTCATAGATTATTGGAGCTTTCCGAATTCGATTTTGTTCATACAGTTAAGTCCTCGCTTCGGACAGTAAAGTACGTAATTACTAAAGTTACTTGCCTAAATGACATTATTAGATATATTTGGCCGTATTTTAATTAAGTATGATGAATTAAATAATATCATCACAAATCATAGTAGTAACTAAAAACTTTAAATCAAGAAATTATTCACACTAAATAATTAAAGTCTATTGAGTTATTTAAGATAAAAAGATTCTTATGTTTTACTTTTGGAATTCCATATCCAAAACTTACATAATAAATTACCTTTTTTATCTAAATTGTGTAAAAAGTATTTGATTTAACAATTTATTGACTTAGAGTTGTAAGGCAAGACCTAGAGGTTTCGTATTAACAAAATACAAATATAAATTTCAAATGATGAAATGACAAAACTGGCGAAAAATAACGAAACTAAGGAAAGGTAATGAAATTGGGCAAAAGCTGACAAATCGAGCGAAACTGGAAAAGGTTGACGAAACTGGCAAAAATGACGTTGAAAATTTTAAAAAGTTAAAAAAAAAATTAAAAAAATTTATTAAAGGTTTGATAAATCTAATAAAGGATAATGTTTTATACCAGAAAAGTATATAATAATATCCAGTGAATATATTAAATTCAGATCTGAATTACTATTAACCTCGATCTACCTCTCATAGACTTGGGATTAATGTAAGAGTAATGCTATGAATGTTTGGCGTGAAATTAGAATGGTGTGGGCTTAAAACTGTGTTATATCAGGTTAAGGTCTGAATTTGAAACGCGCAAGGTCAAAATATCAACATAATAATGACAAATTCTAACCAATGAACTCTGGATTTGTATAGTCAGTTCCTAGCATTGATAGAAATTGATAAATAAAATTGGGTTCTTCTAGTCGTTGGCCTGTTTTAAAAATCATGCAGGCAAATTTCTTTAAATCTTTAATTCTGTGTAGGTTTCTTTTATCGCAATAAATTAATAATGATTTATAGTGGGCAAACCTAATAAATGTTACGAAAATTGTGTGCAAAACATTTTCACTTATAGGTTTTTGCAAAAAAGTGTGACCTTGTGACTTCGTGAGATTCTAAATTGCCTGTCGAACATATTTTTCAATCAGCAATGTCTAAATGTATGACTCTTTTTTAAATCATTTTACATAAATATTTCACTATAAATAAGATTGGAAGGAGAATATGCTTATTAAAATTCTTTATTTTTTTTATTTTATTTGTTTGATTAGAAACGCCTAAATGCCTATGCAATCCATATACATAATGTGCATAATGCGTATTACATTATGCGTTGCTGTCTCTGCTTTCGGCGTGAGAAATGCGTAGGCTATGAATACACATTTGTAGAAGCCTTTTTTTTTCCTCTGGAAGTGAGTAACCGATTTTTAATAGAGTATAGACTTTTAGCGGTAAATATCAATGAACATAAATTTTAGCGGCAAATGTCAAAGACGTGCCCGTACTTTAAAGATAAAGGCACAAATATAAATTTCTCGTCCTCAATAAATACAATAAAATAGTAATTCTTAATGTTTTTACAATTTACGGAAATATTCTTTATTTACAACTAATGAGTTTTTCTTTTTTTGTAAGAACTATATTTTACACTATCTAATAACAAGGAAAGCTCGAGATGTAAGATACGAAAACGGAATATAAACGCAAAGGTAACAAATGAAATTTTTTTCTAGATTGAAATGATCTAATTTGATGATTTTTTTTTTTTTTTTTTTTTTGTAGAGAATCATTTTAAACGCACTAAAAATCATTTTGGACTAACTTTTAAAACAGATGATGGCCTTCTCTGTTTTGACAAGCCATTAATCCTAGTTTGTGCTAGAGAATATCCACTGTCAGCAGCTAATTTATAGTACATCATTGCTCGAGATACATTCTTTGTCACACCGTTTCCATTTTGATAGCATTTACCAAGAAAATACTGGCCTATTGGATCACCATTATCTGCAGCTTTCTGATAAGAAGCGAAGGCAGCCTGTTTATCTTGAACAGTACCGATTGAGTTTTCGTAAAAAAAACCTATGATTGGTCCAAATTGTGGATTATCTTTATGTTGATTCAGAGTTTTAAAAGTTGACTTATGTTCTCTCATTCGATTGTGCAAATATTCTTTGATATTAGAAATCATCACAATAGAATCACCACTTAATTCTAACATTTCAGCAAAAAATTTCAATAATTCCTTTAGGAATACCGAATCTGTATTTTCTATTATTTTCTTGTTACTTCCATTCGAGCTTGGAGATGTTGGGGTTGGTGGAGTTGACATACTCTCGTGAAATGAATTACTTCTTGAATGTGATGGTCTTCTTCCATTAAAAACCGAATTACTTAGTTCAGTGTTTATTGTTCCAAGTTTTTTAGATTTTCCAGTAGTCTGAATTTCAGTAATAGCATTTAGTGAATCATTGGAAATACCAACGCTCGAAGATGATGTACTTTTGCCTTCGGAGGATGATCTTCGAGTTCTTGGTTTCGTGTTATTTGAAATACTCTCGTTACTTCTCTTTTTAACAGGCACCTCAACATTTTGAAGTTTTGCCAATACGTCATGAATAGTGGGACGTTTCTTAGGATCATCATTCCAACATTGTCGATAAATGTCAACATAAGCTTTCGGAGATCCTTTGATTGGCTCTTCTCTTTCACCGTTTGATATCCGAGTAGCCATTTGTAGCTGAGCCAATGATGAAGAGGATGATGATGATGATAAAAACGGAGGCCTACCACTTGAAATTTCCCAAAGTAATATTCCAACGCTATAAACATCCGATTTAGAAGTTCGTTTATATTGCGAATTCTTTAAACTTTGCGGCTCTATATATACCATATCACCTTTGGCATCGGAAATACGTCTAGTAACTTGTGAGGAACTTTTGGATAAACCAAAATCGGTTATTTTTATCGCACCATCTCTCAATAATATATTGTTTGAGTTCTGAAAGTTAAAGAATTAGTAATAGGAAAAAAAAAACTTATTTTGGATTAGAAGATAAATTACCAAATTTCCGAGAATTATATCATTATCATGCAGACAAACTATACCACTCGCTATCTGCTTAGCAAGGTTTAATTTATCATTCCACGACAATGAAGAAGATTTTTTTTGAAGATACCGGCGAAGAGTGCCACCATCTGCATGTTCAAATACCAAAAAATGTTTTTTGGAGCACACATCTATATAAAGAGTTATAAATTTGATATTGTATTAAAAAATCAATCGAACATATAGATAAACTAATCTAGAAATGACAAAAAGCACCTTGAGTAATTCCATAAAATTTCAAAATATTAAGATGATGATCAACTTTTTTATACAGTTCCAACTAGAAGAAAATTAAAAGTATAGAGATCGTATTATAACTTATTCAACCCTGCATTGTAACCTCAACAAAATTGGGGGATATTCGTTTTAATGCTTAAAAAAGATTTATCGGACAGGAAACAAATTATTACCTCGCTAATAAATTTATCTATAGCAGATTTATCATCAGTACCAGGATTTCCTTTATATCTTTTTAACATAATGGTCATTCCATGAGATTTCCAAGCTGCACGAAAACTTTCCCCAAAAGGTCCTGAAACAATAGGTTCAATTTCCGAAAATTTATCATAATCATGAAAATCTATATGACTTTGTTCAACAATTTGCTCAAGCCAATTTTGTGTCGAAACGGCGCTTTTTTTCATTGTTGATGAAAGATTTGTTAAAGAAACGAAAATGTAGAACAAGTTTTTAAAGGCAGGGAAAGATCATCAAATATACATACAAGGTTTGTGGCGCATAGCATGACACGGAAAACCGAAAAAGTGTTAGCGTGTGCCACTTTCGAACTCACCCATTTTGAAGTCACAATAGGAACTTTCATTTTGATTATCAAGTAATGCACGTTAATTGCTTCATATGAAAAATTCTAAGACAAGAAATGGAAACGCTTTCAAACTTCTAAACCGCGTGTCTGACATGCCATTATGCCATTAATTTACTCCACATTAGGATGACCTATGAAAAACTGATATATTTGGTAACAAAATGGCTTCTATTAACTGAATTGACCAATTGGAGAGGAAGGGGGTTAATTTTAAGCTAATCTACGTAATAACATAATATCATTTACGCACATTTAGGTGGTTTTTTTTGGTCAACAATATTTGTATATTTGTTAATAACTTTCCTTAAAAATTATTCTTAGTTCTTTGAAACAGATGTAACAGTAATTCTTAATTTATGCCTTAAGAAAGAAAATCTTGCCTGATTTTGATCTAAGCGTCGAACTGCTTAACATAATGATAAACTTTCACTATTTATTTTAATGTATTTGTAATGTGTCTTTGATCCAGAAGTCATTGTAATAGAGGTGTTTGGTTATTGTTTCACCAAAGAAATATGCACAAACCGCTTCGCATTGTCGGCTATTCATTAATATGAAACTGGTACACCTTATGTACCCTACACAAAAGATGTATGTACTACTGGGATAATCATACGCAGGATGGTGCTCATTATTCTTAAGCTGCTCATTCTTTGCAGATTAGACAATTTCTCGCTATGGTCTAATAGGTCACCCTATAATTGACTTCATTTCACGCATAATTTTGACATATGCCCTATTTCCCCGATGTTCTCTTCCTGACATGATTAATTGTTATAATATTAATATATATATTCTAAAATGTGTTTAGAGATTGTATCTGTTGAAAGCTTACTAACGAGTATTATTAAATACCTGTCAGATAAGTTGTTATATATTTCGGGCTGCACTCTACTCATGCTAATCTCTCAATTTGATATTCAAATAATAACTCGTTTTATGGCTTAGCTCTTTTAAATTAATGTAACCTGTGCTTAGCATGAAACAAATATTTTGATTAGAATTGACGTAAAATTACAATAACCCATAGCGATAGACAATTGTATTATAGATTAACGAATTTGAATTTATTAACAAAAATTTACATTGGCTCACATTGCAAAATTTTTGTTACCTTCGATGAGTTTTAGTTAATAATCAGAAAAATGAATATGATTCATAACATACACTCAGGGTGTCCAGAAATTTGTCTTATATTACCTTCGTATTATGCAATTTAAAGACATTTTAATAATTGCTGCGATTGATGCGAATTGAATATGTTTCCTAAGAAATTTTAAAGTTTTTTTTGGAGGTGCGTTTTTTTTTCTTTAGCTTGTTTCAAAGTTATGTTAAGATTTAAAATCAGTAATTAATAAAAAGTATACGTATGTTGATTTTATTAGGTTAAATAAATAAGGCAACTGTGTCATTTTTTACAATTATCAATTCAATATTTGTTAAGAACTATTTTCAATGATTAGAATAAAAAATCATCTATGCCATACAAAATCAATTTCCTGGTTTTCACAGCCCTATCAGGACAATTTTGAAAGCATTTAAAAACTTTTATACATTTTAATAACTGGATTAATTATCGGAATGAGTATTGTAAACAAATTTTTTCTAACGAAAGCCGAGCTACTGATTTTAATGTTATGAAAACCAATAAAATACGCTTAATATTTTTGTTTTTTTTAGATTTATAAGTATTGCATATTAGGGTTAGTATTCGGATTACATGTAGGTTTTTGGGGCATAGAACATCTAAAGACGCTACATAACAGTTAATTAGAAAATATTAGAGATAATATATATGAGTGACGGGCAGAGAAACCTGCAAATCTGCTTTTTAAGTATTTACTTTAGTAATATCTTAAATGACAAAGTAAACCGAAGACTTAAGATCTTAATGTCATTCTAATCGTCTCATCAAGGTGATTCAAATGATATTAAAATAATAGTTGCTAAGTTACATGATTTTAAAATATTTTTATTTATTTAAAAGGTAATTTTCAAAAAGCATGATTTACAGATTTTCACTGTTCGTCACTTATATATTTTAGTAAACATATTAAAAACTTTATCAAAAACATAAAACATATTAATTATTATTAATAGATTAATATTTTTATACGTAACAAGTTTTTATAGCGAGCTTACTAAAACGCACCAGTGGTATTCAACATCACAGTTGCTATATCTCAAAGAATTGACTAAGTAACGGAGGTCAGATATATTAAATAAAAATGTTCAGAACCCCAAAACCTTATACTAATCAAAATTTAAACCTTTATATCTGCCTTCTTTTTTATAGATTTGTTTTACAATTGCTAATAATAATTTATTTTTATATTTTTGACAAAATTGTTTTGATTTGATACTTGTTTAATGTTTTAGGATGTTCAGAATATTTTTAAAATATTTTATACTTTTAAAATTGATAATATCAGATAATACATAATAAAATTTAAACATATTTTAATATAAAATTTAAAAACCCTTTTGGCTTTTTTTTTTAGAGTTGATTAGGATTTAGAGTTTACATACATATAATACAGTAAATAAATTTGGTAGTATCTATTATATTTTAATATATAGTGTATACAATGTATAACAAATGGGTTTATAATAGAAGATTTACGTAGTTTAAAGTTTTTAAAGTTGCAGTATATACGTACATATTATAAAAATTTCTAAAAAATTAGTATTGTTAAGATCTTGCTAAATTTTGGGTTTTCATTTAGGAATACATATAAATTTGATTTGCATCGTGCATTCAAAACCCCAATCTTTCGCTATTTACAATTTATTATATATACCATAATAATAAAATATGTATCGAGTTATTTCCTACACTAAAATAAATAAGCCCATCCCAATTTACTGCTAAAGTGGCGTAGTAGGTAACACTTCTTATGTGATATTATTAAGTGTATCGTTACACTGCCCGCTTTTCTATCGACAACGTACGTACTAGGATTGGGTATTTGAATCCAATTGTTCTGACGTACTGTTTTGGGTTTTAAGTGGAAGAAATTAAGCTAAGCCGTGGTTTAGTCAAAGAACTATTATTAAATATCATTAGTGCGTATAACAAAATGTTTCTTAAAGACTTCAAGACAAAGAGAAGACTCATCTACGTATCAAACAAACTCGCCAGATCTAAACGCCTCTTTCGACTAAGTATATCACAGGTTACATGAAATTTAGGTGCGACCGACTCTCATTTCCCTGTTTCAAAGTTTATACTGATACTCATTTAATCGCCAACGAAATACTTTCATAAATTGTGTACGAATAATTACTGTAATTAAAGAGGCATATGATGCACGCTCGGTAAAAATTTTAATTTGTCATAGTCAAATTTTTACAAAATTAAACTGAATTGTTTCTAAATTCAATACAGAGAGCTACGTAAACCCTATCGTGAATAAGATAGCCGATGAAAAATAGATTAAGACTTGGGAATCTGTTAAAATCTAAATTATTATTTTAATGTTTGCAAATGCTAACATTAAAATTTATATGTTCGGATTTATATAACATGATGGATATATAAAAGAAAATGAGCACAAAATATTTGTTGTGCACTTTGAAGTTTCCATTGAACGACATTTTGAAACACTTTATTTGACTGATATTACTGACTCAATTTTTTTGATTTCCTTACTTGGGAATTTATATTGAGCAAACATATCAAATCGTAAATTTTTACGAAGCAAAAACAAGAAAAAAAAAATTACAAGAAACGAATGGTTAAACCTATCTTGAAGCACTAATAAAAATGTCGGGTAATTTTACCTATAATACTTATCCTGTTCTTAACTTCGAACCACCTTAATAATTTTAATTGTTGCATCTTAGGTAATCTACCAAATAAGGAAATTAAAGAATTGATTGGTAGTATCCATTCCGATTTATTTACCGTTGCTGCTACAATATATTTATTACACAAAATATTCACATTTATACACCCAATATTTTTTAAAAGAAAAATGTTTTATTAGAATTTCTAACGGGAATAATTTGAATTAACGATTTAGAATGTTAAATATACGTAAAGGAGAAGTAGCTCATCTTAGTAAAGCTATTCAATGCTTTTTTTTTGGTTATATTGATGATTCAATAGCGTATAATACACAATATAGTATATTAAAGTGGTTAAAATCATATAGTTTACATAATGGGCCTGGAGAAGCTATTAAACTTATAATAATGGTTATTGCTTTAATTTGTGTATCAGGAACAACAGATTATTTCAGATCAAATGTATTATCAAATATTCTTAAAGGTATATTTTATCCTGCAGCTTTTATTGGAAATATAGTTTGGTCATGGCCAGAAGGGGAGTTGGGATTTTTCAATTTTATATTAGCGCTGATTGGTGGTGTCATAGCAGCAATTATTAGTTTTTTTGTGTACAATTATATATATGTGTTGATATACAAGCATGGGCATAAATTCAAATGCGAAAAAATTGCATATCATCTTCTTGTCAAAGTCTTAGATGATCCTTATAGTCCAAGTCTCTTTATTTGGTGGTTGCAATGGACATATGATTTTATAATGGGAGGTGTCAAAATCTTTGAGTGGAGTATCTTATTGTTCATTGGATTTATCATTAACGCATGTTATGACGTGTTTGAAGATGCTTATTATAATTCTGCACCAAGATTTCGTGAAGTGGTATATTATAATGACGAAGAGGTGCCAAAATTTCGGGGAATATGCGCTATTAGTTACATAAGAGCGGATAAAACTCAATCAACATTTGTTTTGGCAGAAAAAGTTTCAAAGAAACTAAGTTGTAAAGTTTTTTGGTTAGACGCTCTATGTATAAATCAAGAAGATCCTAATGATAGACATTCACAATTAGTAGCAATGTCAGAGATATATAGACAAGCTTCATATGTTATTGTCTTGTTGGAACAAAGCGATTTTGGGTATGGACCAGGATTCATGTTAAATAAAACAGCAATCTTAAACCTTAAACGTTGGACTCAAGATGTGTGGACAGCACAAGAGCACTTAATTGGTAATATTGTAGTATTTTGTGATAAAAATGGATCGGTTATTACTGAAAATAATATTTTAGCATTATTAGAGGATGCCAAGCAAAATGGTGATATAGAAGCAGCCGAAATGCTCCCGATTTTCTATAGAGTGAGAGAATGTAGAAATAGACGTGCCGTAAGTCTAGGTGATGCATGGTATTTAATTTCAGACAGGTTAACTGATGATCCACAAAACTATATATTCGGCATGCTTGGAATATTACACCCAATGATTAGGCATCACTTTATTCATGGTAGTAGATTTGTGAATTTTGAAGATGGAATGCAACAAATATTAAGATTATCATGTGAAAGAGGTGATGTTTCTTGGTTACATTTAGTTGGAAAAAAACCATATTCACCAGGAAAATGTAATTTGCTAGTACCGACTCCTGGGCAGAAACAACACTTTGATGTAGAATATACCCGTTCAGGTGCATCAGGTTGGAAGATAGAATATTATAATAATGGTATTAGGACGTCAGCTGTGCATGGTATTATTTGCGAATTTGACATGGATAAACAAATAATAGGAATTGAGAATTATGGAAAGGTGATATTCCAAGGATCTTTTACATTGTTGCAAGGTGAAAAATTATCGTTAGGAATGAATGTTTATTTGGTTGCGTATTTAGTATATTTGTACGCCTTCGATCAAGATGATAAATTTGCAATAGTTAAGCAAGAACTTAATGGCGAAACACATTTGATAGGTACAGTTAAAGGAAGGTATTCTGGACCTTTATACCCACACCAGTGGGTATCAATTGCATAGAATACTTGAACTTATAACTATTTAATAGCCTAGCTATCGAGCCCGTGCGCTGCCTGAATGTGAGAACTTTAATCGTTTTATGTAGTGTGATATGAAAGACCATTTCATATAAAATATATCAAGTAATTTGAAATTTTATATTAGTTCAATAACATTATTTAAATTGTTTACATTCTATAGTTAAGTAAATCTTCTAATTAAAGTTGTTAAAATAATTTAATTATTAAAATTAGATTAGTGATTCTTGAAGTACTTGGAATCAAGTATGCAAACATAATAATGCCAGTTTGTTGCTTGTCAAGCCGCATGCTCTTATTCCATTTATTTTTTCTGTTTTCCAACTTTTTATTTTTTTTAACTTTGCATCTTCTTTATAGTGATGTACTTCATATCTTTTTTCTTTGTATAGATTCCAATTCATATATCTTCTATGTCAATGTGCCTTCGCAAAAATTTTCACTTGACTCCAATTTTTAATAAAATTCAAATATGACATCATTTCTATTGATTGAATTCAATTTTTCATATTTTTTTCGTCAAGTCCAGTAATAAAAAATAGTGCATTCAGTTTTTAGTCGTTTTATCCACAGTTCTTTTTTGTTATTTTTGACCCATTACAGGGTTTAAAAAAGAAAGGAAATAGCACAATAGAATCAAATTAGCATACAACATAATGACAATAGCGACATAAAGAACTTCTTCATGTAAAAAAGAGGTAATGATTAAAATGTATTGTATGTGTCTTATTTCCACGTGGAAGGAATTCTGGACCAACGGAATAAATCTTAAATTTGTGTATATAGATGTAATGGTAACTACGTCTCGACTCGGTCCTCAGTGATATAAATTCAGATTTTTCTGCTGGCCGAAATGTTTTATGTCAGCAATAGTTTGTTTTGTATGCAAGGTTGTTTTCAAAAGGTCTCTAGAAAATTTATCCGTTAATGACTTTGAGCTTTCGTTTGTTCTGAAATGTAGGATCCATTATCAACAAACGATCGAGATTCATATTTGAAAATCCTATACTTTTTTGATGCACCTAACTCTCCACTTTTTGAGTAATGAAATATTTTACATTAAACTTGTTTTATCTCTTTGAACTTTGAATATTTCTAAAATGGAAAGTACGCATTTTACAAACTTAATTCATGTCGAATTATGAAACCCATTATTTATTTTAAAATAATAAAAGCGTAATTTGAGTGTTTATATCGTATAAATGAAAGCAAAAAAGAAAATGTAATAGTTGCAAGAGAAAGAAAATATTATAAAATCTGAAGTGCTTAAAAAAATAGGTTATGAAAAAACTCATGAACATATGTATCTTGAGATTATTAACGAATTGGAAAATAGTGGTACAATTGAAGTCAATTCCCTTAGAGAGATGAATGCATCTTTTTTTAGAAGTTTATTATCATACACATTATTCTTTAAAATTTCCATAGTCAACTTAGGTACAACAAAATTCATGTCAATTTAACGATCGACCTAGTAATTTCAGAAAACAAAAAAAGATGAGAAATTAAGTACTGAAGATAGAGAATTCGAATTAGAAACTTAAAGGAAATGCAAGGAAATTATGAAACATATATATATATTATTTGTTAGTCACTGCATTTAAATAAATATACATTGATATAACTATAATGCTATTACTGTTTCAGAAGCCTGTCTTGAAAAGTCTAATAATCTTTCAAGACAAAAAAAAAGACATCAAAGATTGAATCAAATTTCGTACATACCTAGTCAAAAAAATGGTAGATGACAAAGATTATGAACGGGCAAAAAAACTTTTCTGCAGCATTAAATCTAAATTTGAAATTTTAGATATATTAAAAAAAAACAAATCAAAACAAAAAGTTAATGTAAATATATCGATATTTTAAATATTCGGATTTGGAAGTAGTTCGATTCGGATTACAGATCAAAATCCTGACAACTCCTGACAAGTTATAATCCTGGCATTTAGAATTCTTAAAACAGAATCAGACTCTGTTTTAAAGATTTTGAATGGCAGGATTATAATCTTTCGAGATCTTTATTTGTCAATAGTTTGACCTGTAACCTTCGATTCAAATTTGAAGTAATATTAAGTTCTTAAATAAATAAATTTGAATAAATAAAAAAAAATGCCAATTATTTCCTTTTCGATTGTTCATCAATAGAAGAAACGATACAAAGTTATGAATTGTATTTAAAGTATATTATGCTGAAGAGTAGGCACAGAATTAATTATATTCTTTAAGGGACAAAATAAAAAATATGGTTATAAAATTTTAACAAAATATAAAAATTACAACTAGCTCATGATATCAACATAACGCAGTTATAAATATAAAACTAAATAAAATTTTGATAAGAATCTCTCACTTATAAACATATTTCGAAAATGTGGGCTCTTAGCTTGACTCTTTATTATTTTCTGAAGGTTTAGAATTTTTGTTTAAAGGTTCATCCTTTAAAGTTATAATATGATCTGGGAGCTCCTTAATTTCCAAAGATTTACCGTTTTCAACAGAATTTTCTTTAATTTCTAAAGTTTCTTGAATGGATTGTTCCTTAACTGATAAAGAATTATCAGTTGCATCTAAATGTTCATTATTTTTCAAAGTTATGACATCTTGACCTGATTGTTCCTTAGCATCTTTGGTCAGTTTAGAAATCACTTCATCAAACCTTTTCAATTTATCTTTTTCGGCGGCCAATTCAGTTTCTAAGATTCGATTTCTTCTATTTGAATCTGCAAGTGTTCTTCAGAGTTCTTGCAGTATTTGCTCGTTATTAATCCTTTGTATACGATTATTTTCTCTCCTTTGCCTGCATTGCCGCAATATATTATCCAAACAACTAACAATATAAGCAACAGAAAAAATAGACCAACTATTACAAATGTAAACGATACAATAGCACCAAATATTTTTCCTCCTAAGTCATCGATCCTCAAACTTTCATGAGCAAAAATAAATGCTTAGAGTAAGCCATTCTGCCATAAAAAAAAATCAGAAACAACCAAACCAAAAATCACCATCCATTTATTAACAGTTAGAGTATATCGATATTGCTTTTTTTACAGATATAGACAGTTAAATTTGGGGTATTTCTGGGCATCTCTAGCCATAGATGCGTAACGATAATATTTCGGATTTAATAGCCAATTAAAAGGCAAAAATCACGTGGTGGCCATTTTCATGTAGCACAAAGGTGACACTAAGGACGATCACCCCGGATCAGTCCGTCAAAAATACAAAAACCTGTTATTGTAACCTATCTTGGAGTACTATTTTTTTTTTATTAAAGTGACTTTTTTGGTTTTTTTGATTTTTATTAATGACTTTTTTGGTAATGTGATTCTATGAACTACTACAGAAAGAGTGTACAATTGGTTATATTTGTAACTTTTCTACATTACCTATTTAATGAGTCCACCTGAAGAGGTTCTTGCTTATCTGAGTACTTTGATATTAGTATCTATTTCTAGTGGTCTAATCTTTATAGTAATCTGTCAAAAATCAGTATTATCTTTTTACTCAGGTCTTCTCAAATGAACTTTTTGTTTTTCAATTTTAATGAATTTATATACTATAAGGATTTATCTAGAATTTGCATTGTCTGATATTGGTTTGCATTTTTTTTATATAACTAATTATACAGATGTCTTATGATCTGCTAGTCATGCTAGTGTAACTGTTATTACAAATATTTTAATTCAATCATTAGAAACAATTATTATAATATAAATATTATATAGGTAATTATTCAAATTTTTACAATTAATGAGATTTAAATATCTAATTTATTACTTAAAAGGTTAACAACTTATTTACTTTACTAAGTCATTACATTCTTTTAGAATACTAATTAAAAATATTAGAAAAATAATTTTATTTATAAAACTTGACTTTATTTTAAGATTTAAAACCTAGTTAAAATCATATAATTAAACAAAGTTTTATATCAAAAATATATAAGCTAAATATTTTTGACTAGTAATATTTAAAATTTTCTTTATTAATAATACAATTATAAATTTTGTAATTTTATTTTAAAGATAAGATATATATAATTATTTTTTATATAATTTAGATAATATAATAAAATTTTTATATAATAAATAAAATATATTATTAATAAAATTTTTGATTTTTTAATTAATTTTTATTAAAATGTAATAATATATAAATTTAAATAAGTTATTTATTATATTAAAATTTTATAAAATGTTTAATTTTAAAAAATTATATTTGTATATATCTTAAATTTTCTCTAAATATTTTATATTTTTTTTGATTACATAAAAAGTCAATTTTAATTAACTAATTTCTAAAAAACTATAAGTAAATTTTAATAATAAATTTTTATATCTAATCTTTAAAAATTCATATATTGATGAGTTTTAAATCAATTTTAATAATTTTATTATTATTAAAATCATAAGAACTATTTTATAACTTTAATTAGAAACTTAAAAATATCAAATTAATAAAAATTTTTATAATTGAAATTACAAAAAAAATATACCATCAAGTTTATATATAATTTTAAAATATTATATCTTATTCTTAAATAAATTTTGTTTATAAATAAGAATTTTTAAGATTTAAAAAAGATGTAAATAATTATTCTTTTTATTTTCACTTATATATGTATACTTGTTTTTAAAAAGATGTAAATAATATACTATTAAACTAAAGTATATTATGCTATGTAAGTGATGCATATGCAAGAATTTATAACTTGCATAGCAGGTTATATTTTAATCATTATATAAATTTTAATTCTTATATTAAAATTATAAAATTACAAACTTGTACTTCTGCATTTTACTTAGTAGAATTGTTAATTTATATAATTTATAATCAGAATATATTTCACAATTCAGAGCATGAAAATATACCTCACTATTAAAGATCTCGGATTATGTAATTTGAAATGCATCATTGTATAATGTAATAAATTCAAATTATATGATATTTATATAAAGAATTTTATATATATTTATATATATATTTTGGTATTAAGGTGGTCTCTTTGGTCTTTTGACTTTTATTAATCACTTATCAGTATTGTAATTTAATAAACTAATACAGAAGAGAGTACAATTGGCTACATGTGTAACTTTTCTATATTACCTATTTAAGGAGTCCATCTAAAGGTTTCCTACTAATTGTCATATCTAACACCTCTGCTTAGATGTTTTACTTTAAACTCTCTGAATCTGTAACCTGTGTTAATTCACTAGGTCATACCCAGATATCCAGATAATTGTTTCAATCTTAGGACTAATTTATTCTCAAGATAAACCTTCCAGAGCCTTCTGTATTCATTTTTACACCTGATCTAGGTATTACTATGGCAGAACTAACACTTGCGATTAGGACTGATCATTAAACCACTATGCTTTTATAAAGTTCACTTAGATCCTAGTATCTACTTCATAGCATAACCCTGGTACTTTAGTATACTCCTAACTTTTATCTGCCTTTTTACTAAATTTCTAATCCAGATAGTCTGTGTAGGACTACAACCAATCTATCAATATATCAGGTCAACCTGATATTCTTTTCTTCTGGTTTATTCTAACAACCTGATTGGTGATACCTCTGAGACTTCCAAGTCAAAGAGAGATTCTTGCCTATCTGGCTACTACAATCAGGTACTATAATCTTGGTATCTGTTTTTCTGAGCTAGCCTTTACAGTAAGACTGTCAAAGATCCAGCTACCTCTCTACTTAGGTCTTCTCAAATGGACTTCTTGTTACTCAATTTCAATGGATTTACATAGCCACAAAGACTTATCTAGTATTTGCACCACCTAATTTGTTGGTTTGTATTCCTCTGTGTAATGCCATACTTACACAGATGCCCCATAACCTGCCAGTCATGTTGGTATGACTACCATTACAAATATCCTAACCCAATCATTAGTAACAGTTGCTGTAATATAAATATTATATAAGTGATTATCTAAATTTTCATCATTGATGGGATTTGAACACCCAATCTACCACTTGGGGGTTGACAACTTGACCACTTTACTAGATTGCTACACCTCTCTTATATATATTTTATATTATTCTAATTTTAATTTATTACTACATTTTTTTTTATTAATAAATTCATAATTATCATATTATATATGATGCAAATATTATTTACTTAAAATTTACTATATAATGTCACATGAATAATCTAAATTTAGTAAAAATTAATCATATTTTATGTATATATCATGTAATCATATCTGTTCAATGTCTCTACTTGCTATTCAGATTTTGTTGCATATATATATTACATATAATTAAATAATAAGATCATATAATTTAGAATTTCTAGAAAATTGACATTTCAAATTTTTAAGAAAATTCAACAAGTTACATGAAAATTAAAATCATATAATATTATAATATTTAGTAAATATTATATTAATTTAATATTTTAATAAACTATTGAATAAATTATTATAACTAAATTTTATAATTAAATTTTATAATTAAATTTTATAATTAATTAAATACTATTTTTAAAATGACATTTAAACTAATGTTTAGATTGATTAAAATTTATTTTTAAAGCAACATTCAGACTAAGCTTTAGATTAGTTAAAATTGATTTTTAAAGCAATATTTGAGCTAAAATTTAGATAAGTAAGATTAATTTTAGCAACAATACTCAAATCTAAAACTTAATTTAGTTAAAATTTATTTTTAAAATAACTTTAAATAAGATTTAAATTAGTTAAAATCTATTTCTGAAACAATACTCAGGCCTGAAATCTAAATTAATTAAGATCTATTCCCGGAGCAATGCCTGGATTTGAGACCTAAATTAATTAAGGTCTATTCCTGAAGCAAAGCTCAGGCCTAAGACCTAAATTAATTAAGGTCTATTCCCGGAGCAATGCCCGGGCCTGAGACCTAGTAATTCTAAATTTAGCTTCAAGCATCTGAAGCAAAACTGCTTAAAATTATTAACACGGGCAAGGAAGGTCTAATTTCAGGGGTTAATTTTAGTTAGTCTAAAGTGGAGATAAATCACGTGACCATTAGCCGGTTAAGTACAGGTCAATTTGTTTTTAGGTCAAGTTAAATCAAATATCCGACATTTTATATGTCATGATATTTTTTTGCACGAAATTACATAATCAATCTTGCAAAATACTTCACACGGTCATATATAAACATCAGATAACACAGAAAAAATTTTTTCTTCGGAGTTAATGTGCTGCTACGCAGCACATGGAGTGACATTAACTCCGAAGAAAAAAATTTCCATTTACTGCGCAATAATGTATACATAACCTCTAGCAGAATTTTAGGGTTAATACGGGCTGGAATTATGTTGATGTCGGATCAAGTTTAACTTGACCTAAAAACCTACTAAAAGCCAACTTGACCTGTAAAAGGGAATATTGATTATTAGTCTGATTCAGCCCTTCTGATCGACGACATATCGGGCCTTAATTAGATGGTTGTGATTTTTCATTAGTAAAATTTTGATCGTCGCTATTAGCCAATCAAAATCGAGGATCTGCCGTGACGATTTTGTTGCGGCGGCTATGGTTAATCATTTTATTTTCGTCACGAGCGAATTGGATGATTCCGTTCATTCATAACTATATGCTTGCGTATGTTGCGGGACAGCTTCGGCAAACTCTACGTACGTAAGTATGTATGTACGTGCTGTGTCCAGTATATGAGGAATCTGCGGTGCGCATATTGAAAATTAATTCTGCAAGTAAAATTTTCTTTGAATCTGCGGATTTTATGTGTCACACATCTATTTATTGAACTTTTATTTTGTTTACAAAAATTATTAAGCTTTTCCACATAATGAAACAAAATCGAATTTTAAACACTGGCTGTGCCACGGATTTTCACTCTTACAGAGTGCATATCATAAAGGTTGGTGGCGCAGATCTTATGAACTACGAGTCAGATTTCAATATTAGGTGTGACGTAACACGATCAGGAAGATTCAAAACAAACGTTCGCTCTGCCAAAAATTGCTCATAGCTCAAAAATCATCATAAGAA